TTCGGACTGCAGTACACATTGTGAGGAGTGTACGATTAATCCCCATTGTTTCGTCGGATAGCGTGTCGCAGGCTGGATGGAGGGTGGGGATGGGAGCGGGAGGACCGGTGCACACTGAGGACGTGGCGGCGAGAAATTATTTGTAAGGGTGCTCCTTTTACCTCTTGCATCTTCTACTATTGTGGTAGTAAATCCCATGCTAATATATTCTCCCCACAGTGCAACGGGGATAACCCGCGACGTGTCGCATATTATCCGTGATATCCTCATCAGCCAACAGCAACAGCAGCAACAACAACCACCATCTCCACCATCAACATCACCCGCAACCTCAGCAAGCACGACCACAACCACTCCACAAATCCCCGCCCACCAAATAGCCATCCACATCAACACCACAAAGCCCAGCACCAAAGGAACAAAACGCCTCATCCCTCGCCTCGACATCTCCGCCGACCAGTGCCCAGATCTGACCAGCCTGCTACAAAAGGTCCGCGAGCACCACGTCCGGTTCCAGCAACAGCATAATGGCCAGCATCAGTCCCAGAGCGCACAGCAGGCTGCTGCCGCCCTTGCTGAGGAGCCGACGGTGCCCGTCAAAGTGTGGTTGGAGGAAGGGCTGGTGGATGTGCAGACGGAGGCGGAGTGGGGCGGTTGCGCTAGCTAAGGTTAGTACAGTGGATTGGATGGATGGGGAATTAAGGGTTATTGTTCAAGGTACGGAAGCCGGGAGTGGAGAAAATAGTTAAAGTTGATGTTCGTCATTAATTTCGTATTTTGTTCTTGCTTTACTTTGGCTGCGGGGTGGGTAGGTAGGCTGTGGTGTTTTTATTATGACCTTCCTCCTCCCCTGTTTATTCTTTTGTATTTATTTTATGTATATGTTTCTCGTTCCATGTTTCATCAGTGGGAGACCAAAAAAAAAAGGGATCGGATATATTTGGTAAGGATACTTTTGATTTTACGTCCTGTGCATGTTTTATTTTATTTTGTTTCCATGCCAAATGCGTTGTCAATTTGCTATCCCCTGCCATTAATCACACTTTCATTTAAACTGCTGGCTTTTTGTCGTAGTCGTAAACAGAGTCGAGTAGCGGCGGGCAGATGTAATAGTTAACCCAGCAAGCCCTTGAGTAGCTGTCGTATTTCTTGACACTGCTGTAATATAGAGTTTCTTGCTTCAAACCTAGCCACAATACGCCGGATATACAAGCCTCACCTCGTCCATAGTTGCATAGTTGTGAGGTGTCAGGGAACGCATCGCTGGATCCTGATTGCATGCCTCGTAACCAATTAGTTTTTGGTCATCATCCTCTGGGTTGAGGAGTTACAGCACTCCAGGACTGCTGGAGTGATAAACCATCTTGTCCTCGACAAAAAGGATCTCATGTCGCTTTAAATGTAGGGGCAATTTCGACCCTCCCTTTTGCCGGCAGTTGTTCGTTTGAAGGGCTTTCACACATGGAAAAACGACACGACAGATGTAGGTATGTACTACAAGAAGAACTGTGATGGGTTGGTATGCGTGAAGCACGCCTGAATGACGCCGTTCCTCGCATTCCCTCACCTGACCGAGTGCATGCAGATGGGCGCCCGGCCGTAGCGGGTTTCAAAAGGATTGATCTGATTCGAGATGGACGCAGTTCCCGGGCCACCGTTGGAAGAAGGAGGCTAACGCTCTAGTACTTCACAATCCAGCGACTGAGCAACACTGAACTATCCTTTAATCTTGCAACGCGCAAGAGAGAATGGAAAACCATAATCGACCACTTGGAACGGATTCCGGCTTAACTTGTTCTAACTCGCCAAGAGGTCTGCAAGGCTCCCCTTGGGAAAAGGTTTGGGCAGTCCTGGATAGATTCTGTTCGGCACTGGTCCTTCTCCATGCTGACTGGTTGACAGCTCCCGGGACGTGGCTTTGGATCATGGGTAGAGATTCCTGGCTTGAAGCATCCTCATGCCCACTCATGCACTGCAGGGATTGTTAGACTCAATCCCCACAAGCAGACCCATAGCCCATGAGCGGGCTGGATGGAGAGTAAGGCCTGTTCAACGACTCGTTCGGCTCCATGGCCGTTGACTTTCTCCAGATGGAGAGAGTGAGGAGAAACATTTGACAGTTCAAACTTCTGAGAGGCGTGGATTTGTAGCCTTGTTTGAAGGACCAGTTTCTCAGCCTTTCTCCGCTTTCTGTTCCCTACTTACCTCCTAGGAAACTGGGTTTGGAAACCACAACAGATTTATGAATCGCGAAGTTTCTAATATTTAATTTTACATTCTTCCGTGGGTTTTCTCCCCCTCACGACATAGAAAGGTCTAGCCGTGATAGGAGCTATATAACGATCTACTTCCCAAAGTTCGGGGGAATAGAAATTTAGGAATACCCAAGGAAAAGGGATACAACATGACAAATATGGACGTGACCACAGTTGTTACCTCGATCCTGGAGGCCTTTGGGAATGGGCGGGATTTCTTCAATCGCATACACAAAAAGAAGGATCTTAAAAGATCTGGAACCGATAAATCCAAGCGGGATCTAAGAACCCACGGCTCCCGAAAGAAAAAGCGAAGAAATACAAATGATGCGGCAGTTCCGGTTCGCAGCGAAGATATGGATGATTTGCGAATCCAGGCGTCATTGGAACGGGGTCCCGCTGAAATCAAGAAGGAATATGATACCAGCGTCCAGCGCTTAGGGGAACGCTTCAAAAAGGGAGACGGTATGCAACTCCATTTGTTTTGTTTCCTGCTACTATTGGTAGGCTCGAGATATTAAAAAAAAAAAAAAAAAAAAAGAAAAAAAAAGAAAAGAAACTCGGGTTAATATCATATTGCTAACAATCAAACTCTTGACTAGAACTTGCTCAAGGATCCCTTGCCCATACATTATTAATATTGAATGCCGGTTTGATGAAACTAATAGCATCCTGTTTGTCCAGCGATGGGCAGGGATACAACTGTGCTGGAACTGTTGATCGACGGTCTCTGCTCATACTCTCCGATTCTGCGGCGGCAGATGCAATAACCGCTCTTGATGAACTCCGACAGCGTCTGATAAACGCGTCCACCCCAGCGCCTAAATCAGCAATAATACCCGCAGGGCAGAAAGGGAGACAACGCAGCAGATCGCTGTCACGACAGAGACCAAAGGCGGAATCAGGAAAGAATAGTAAAGCCGAAGACAGAAACCCATCCCCAAGCGCCACGACGTGGCCCACGACAACAACGGGACAGCGCAAAAAGAACACGGCAGGGCCACCACCGAAACCAGCGTCGAATATGGCAACCAGCGGCCGAGAGTTCACGGGAATGTGGATTCGGTCGAGAAAAGGGTCCTCCATATCGCTGGCAACAACGGCAGTGACAAGCCAGCATCCAGCACAGCAAACCCCGAAGAAGTTGCCAAATATGCTAAAGCAATGCGACATGGAGCATAACCAGGGTCACCCGGCTTTTGCCC